ATATTAAATGCATAAATTAAAAAAATATTAAATATATATATATTAGTAATGTATTCATTAAAACATAAATATATATATGTTAAATGCATATTAAATGGGTATCAAATTTTTTTATACTTTTTAAATATGCAAGTATTTTTATATTAGTAATGTATACATGACATATATAAATCTTAACATATTAAAAATATATATTATTCTTTGTAGCTTTTTATAATAAGATTAAAAAATAATTTTCTATCAAAAAAAGAATTTAAAATGATAATATACATTTAATTGTTAATAACAAATAGCATCCAACAATCAACAATAGGGTCATTAATTTAAGTAAAGTAAATCCAAATCACATGAATATATAATAATATATTATAATGATAATAAATAACATTTATAATAATATGAAAGTATATAATATTAATAACATGAGTCATGATATGCAACTATTTTAAATTATAAGAGTTAAAATAAGATATTATATATTTGAAATTAAAAATAATGCATATTCTAAATAATATTTATAATGATAAAAAATTATATAATTTATTTTATATTATATAATACGATATTATTAAAACGTAACTTATAAATTATTACTGTAAATACATATCTGTAAATACATATCTCGATGACCTATTTTAAATACTTTATTCTAGATCATATGATAAGAGATTACATATTTAAAATTAAAAATAACATATTTATTTTAAATAGCATGTATAATGATAAGAGATTGTCTAATTTATATTTCTATATCACATGATAAAGTATTAATATAATATAATGTATATACTCATCTTAATGACTTGTTTTGTATATTTTATTCTAAAATTTAAATCGCATTATATGATACCCATATATAATTATAAGAGATTATATAATTGATTCTAAATCATATGTATATGAGTATACTGCATATCTATGATTATTAAAATATGTAATTTATTTTAATCATATTATAGTGTATAAAAAATTATTATAAGTAACATAAATATATTAATTTGACTTTTTAAATATATATTAATTTAATATTTTTTAATAATTTTAATAAGTTATTAAGACCTTTTACAAATAAATTATACTAATTAAGTAATTATTGAAAATATATAATAATATTTATATGTTAAAAAAGAAATAAATCTAGTATATATTTATTAATATTATGCATAAAAAAAAAAAATCTTGTGAAATAAATTTTTTATGTTATATATAATATATTATTATTATATATTCATAATTTATTTATATTTATATTTATTTATTTTAAATTAAAAATTACTAAAATTTATTACTTTCATATCTAACCACCTAATCGGCTTTAACTTTCAAGATTGATTTTATACTTTTAAGGCTGAGTGGTTGACTGATTTTTAAATTTTCAAGGTTAACTTTTATTATCTTTAGTATAAATTTACTAAAAAAAATAATTAAATAAAATTTAGTTTTATACTTTCAAAACAAACATCAATTTGCTATTCTGATATTCTGCTTTTAGTTTTATACTTTTATTACCGGTTAGGTAACCCACCATTTAGGAACCATTAACTAATCTGCTTTTATTAACAATTAACACACTTTCATTAAAGCCACACGTATGAAAGCTTAACCATTTAACACTAAAAATCTTTTTTTCTCATTTTTACATTCACATTCACATTTTCACTCTTTTATTTCAAACTTCTAGAATCTAGCCAAAGCAATTTCTTTCCTTTTATAGCCATCAAGCTAGGTAACCATCATCATCTTTTGCCTACTCTTTCTTCCTTCCTCAAGTAGTCACCACTCGCCATGTGCCCACAAATCGTAATCCATCGATCAACAGAGCCTTTATGTCCCTTCTAGTTTTCATCACATCGTTTCCTATTAGAACATTAAGGTAAAAGTTGCAAACTACAGTCTAGTTGCTTATTCATTTTTTTTTAATACTTGATTGTTCTTGTAATTGCAAATCCTTGTCCAATATGCATTTATTTTAATATATATGTTTTTCGCTCATACATTTCTAATGTATGTTTTTAAACCATTTTTAATTTGTAGATGGAATATGATGATATTTATATTTTAATCAAATTCTTTTATTGTAAATTTGGTATAAGATGATTATACGGAGATACTAAAATAAGAAAAATGTTGAGATAGGAGAGACCAAAAAGAAGCACAAAAAAAAAAAAAAACAAGCAACTAATTTTAAATGTCTAAAAAGTATTCGAAGTATTACTTGAGAAAGCAGTTAATGGTTTTAAGACAGTAAAGTGCAAGTATTGTGGAGAAGTTAAAAACTACAACTCCATGCATAGGAATGGTAATTTAAACATTATATGAATAATTGTGCTAGGAGAGACACGTGTGATGTAGGCCAAATGATACTTTCTAAAGACTATGGGTCTATTATAATAAGAAATGGTTTATTTTTTCATTTAAGATATTGTACTCATATTTTGAATTTGATAGTCCAAGATGGCTTGAAAGAGGTTGATGAGTTTGTGAAAAAAGTGAGGAAAAATATTAAATATGTAATAGGGTCTCAAGTTATAAAGCAAAAATTTTTGGAATATGTAATCCTACTTAGTTTAAATGCAAATAAATGATTAAGACAAGATGTTCCATCTAGGTGAAACTCCACACATCTCATGCTTTAAAGTGCTATTTATTTTCACATGGCATTCTCTCACTGGGAATCAGTGATTTAAATATTAAGAAAAGTCCATCTAAATTTGAATGGGATAAAATTGAAAAATTGAGCCGATTCTTAAGTTTTTTTTTATGACATTACTTGTGTGTTTTATAGAATAAAGTACCATATTGTCAACTTATTCTTCCCTTCAGTTTTTTGAGCACGCTTGACTTTAAATGAACACATGAATGGAAATGATGTGTAGCAAAAAAAATGGCTTTAATGATGTTTGATAAGTTTGAGAAGTATTGGTCTGAATTTAGTTTGATCTTAGCTATAACTATGATATTGGATCCTCATTATAAGCTACAGTTTATGTATTAAAGTTATAAGAAGCTTTATGAAAATGATTCAATAGAGTTTAGAACAATCAGAGATAATCTATTTTCTCTTTATGATAAATATGTTAATGCTATAAATGCTTCTATTTATAGTTCATCCTTGGTTGTTTCTAATAATTATAATGATCAAATTGTTGATGAGGGATCTAGCATAGCTACAAGTTCATGTAAAAAAGATGTTTGGATGGTAATTCACTTATTTTAATGTTTAGTTTTTTATTACTTTTTGATTTTTTTGTAAAGTTTTGTTATAACTTTTGATATATTTTAATTTTTTAATTAGGAGTTTGACACTTTCGACATTGAGAATGGTATTATTGTAAGGAAATTTCAATTACAGTTGTATTTATAAGAACAAAGGCTTAATAGGACATAAGAGTTGAGTATTTTACAATTTTAGAAGTAAAACCAGTTTTGGTATCTCGAGCTTGCTACTACGGCGTGAGATATCTTGAGCATTCCTATTTCTACAGTAGCATCTGAATCTGTTTTTAATGTTTGTGGTAAGGTTCTTAACCAATATTATAGTTCACTTAAGCCAAAAATTGTGGAGGCTATTGTTTGTTGTAAATACTGGTTATTTGAAGAAGTTGCTGATGAGAACTTAAATGAGATGATAGATGGTGTCATAAACTTGGAACTTAGCAAGGAAAGTTTTTCTTCAGTAATTTGTTCTACTTCATCTCAAGTTAATTATGTTTAGTTGTGTTGACTCATTGAATAACTTTTAAATTATTGATGTATTTTGAATACTCTAAAGTTAGTAGGTTGGTATGTGTTGAATTGGATATGAGGTTTGAAGTTTGATGATATGTTGTATGTATTCGTGTTCGATTTATATTTTGTATTTTGAATACTTTGAAGCTAAAATTTGGCTTGTATTTACAGTATTATTTGTGTATATCGTGTTTATTTATGTAAATCAATTTTATTCATGTTATTTGTGTTATGTTTAAATGGATTAATTATATACATGTTAGTCTTATCATATTGCGAGTAACATGAATAATAAACATATTGTATTTATGTTTAGGATTTAAACATGTTTTATAATTTATGTCGTATTTCGTATTTCAATAATTTGTGTCATTACACGTGTTAAATATGATATGAAACACGACATGAAAATACGGATTGCTAAGTCTATCCACTGCAGCTATATTTTCCAATATTATCCAAACTTTTTCATTTTTTCTTCCTATTTTACCTTTAAAATTATAATAATGGACAAATATATCTTTACACTTATATATCTATATATTTATGGACAAATATATTACTATTAATTTTTAACAAATTTTATGATTTGATAAAAAATAATTTTATTAATTTTTAATTATTTGTTAAATTTATAAATATAAAATATATTATAAAATTTATTAATACAATTTTAATATAATATTTTTAATAATAATTTTCTATTTTTATTATATTTTACCTTACTATCATCATTATTTTTATATCCAAATATATATTTCATTATTAATTTTAACATCAATATTATAATAATTAATCTCATATTTATCGTTATTTTTAATCTTATTAAAACTAATATTATCATCCACCTAAATAGATTTTAAAAAAGATGATAGCCTTCTGCCCCTAGGATAGAAATGTTCCTTATGTAAATATGGCAAGAACAAAAAAATTAAAACTCTAATTTTATTATTTTATTCAAATAAATTCTCATACTTTATTATAGTTAAATAAATTTTTAATTAAAAAATAAGTTTTAATTTTTATTTACATTAAATAAATTCTATAAAATTTAATTTGTATTCGAATAAATATTTAATTTTTATACTTAAATAAATTTTATTTAAAATAAATTTATTTAAATGTAAATAAAAATAAAAATATAAAACTTATTTAAAATAAATAAAATAATTAAGGAGTTTTTTAATATTTTAGCATAGAAATATCGACTTTTTCCTTTCCCACAAAAGCGAAATTCGTTCACGGCTGTCCGTGATAAGTCACGCGTATGTCAAAATCCAGATCTTCACGGCGCCAATAGCCCCTTGAGCGCGTGGCACTCAACTCCCTCCTATATCCTCCTCCTTTCTGGTTTTTAACATTTTATAGTCGAAGTTAATGCACGAAAGTAGTTAAAAATTACGAACACTGAAACACAGCGTTTTTCATTACCGTCCACCGCGTGATCTTCAAGCAACATCCCTAATTTTGCCAAAACAGTGAAGAAAAAGCGAAAGCAAATCCAACAAAAATCAAAATGCCAAACCCTAAAATCTCCGAACCCTCAATCCACTAAACCTTCTTTCTTTTTAATAGTTCTTTTGTCTCAAGCTCTTGTATATTGCCTTTTTGCTCATGGCGGAGGAGGTCAGCGCCGGTAGCGGCGGAGGATCATCTTCGGGGAGAGGAGAGATCAACGGCGTAGGATTAGCTTCGATGGACTCTTTAGAATCTCGTTGGGTGTTCCAAGACGAAGACGACTCTGAGATCGACGACGGGGAAGATGACGGCGATGATGACGACGCGCCGCATCGAGCTGGAGTAGACTCCGAAGACGAGGATACTCCGGAGCAGCGCTTGATTCGCACGGGACCACGCATCGATTCCTTCGACGTCGAAGCTCTCGAAGTCCCCGGCGCACATAGAAGTGAATACGAGGTACATTGGCGTTTCTTTTTCTGATTTAGTTTATTTGGCACTTGTTTACTGTGCAAATCTAATAAAATTATCAGCTTTTTATAATTTTGAAAATTTGGAATTTAGTTGGTGTTTAGTTTGGTCGCATTTGAGCGTACTTTTTATTTTTTAATTTACTTTGTTGTTAAGGAAGTTAATAATTTGTTATTTGGTAAGTCGAGCTAGAAATATTGGCAGAAAGAATGGTGGTTTTAGTTTATGTTGGTGCTGAGTGAATGAAATGAAAATTTTGACGTTACGAGTATTTAATGATTTGTTAAATAAATAATTTAAGGTGATAAAATTCTAGCCGATTCTTCCACAAATTTTGAATGCGATAAGTTAAAGGTATATTTTTCGTTTCTAGATATTGCAATAGAACTCAGGCTGAGTTATTCTTTAGTCTAAATTTGAGTAAACTTAGTATAGTTCTGAAGACAATAATAAATTGGGTTTGGTGAGGCAACTGTGACTTTGTTTTGAAAAGAGCACACGTTTCATTCACTTCTTCTAACATCTGCTGTTCTATTGTTTGGACTGCTTAGCATTGGTTTCCTTTTTATTGCTTTGGTTTTGTTACTTAGACAAGCTACACATGATAAGGGCAAGGTAGCATTTGGTTACTTTTGACATACCTTTCGAATTCCACCATTTTTGTACTGTTACATTACTTAGAGTGCTAGTTTGTACCATCACTGTATCTGGTTGAAAATATTAAGATTGGACTTGGATGCATAAACTTGTATATAACAAGTCTAGATTCCATCATAAGATTAAGGGAAATGCTTGTAAATTTCATGAATTGTAATATCAAAGTATGGGATGCTATGAAATTTATAGCGGAAGATGAAAATTTTTTTTTTTTAAATTATTTTTTTAGCAGGAAGTTTTGTACTGTTGCACTACAATGATTGGACAACTTTCTATGGTTGTTGATGAGCTTTATTTTACTGAAAGGTTGTCCTTTTCTTGCTGCAAATAAAAAGCTTGTTTCTTGTGATATATGTTGGATTAAGTGCAAAACGTTCTTACAGCCATGGTACTAGAAATAAGATAAGTTTTTATTGAATTTATTCCATGTGCTTTTGTTTTTCTGCTCATGTTTTTGCTTCTACTTAAATTTGATCTCAGGACTTTGGTATAGGAAGGAGAATAATACTTGCCTTTCAGACACTTGGAGTTGTATTTGGTGATGTTGGAACAAGTCCATTATATACCTTCAGTGTGATGTTTAGCAAGGCACCTATCATTGGAAATGATGATGTTATTGGAGCATTATCACTAGTTCTATACACCCTAATCTTGATCCCCCTACTCAAATATGTCCTTGTCGTTCTTTTGGCAAATGATGATGGTGAAGGTATACTGGATGTTCCCAATCAAGTCCCTATTCATTAGCTTTTATGCAGGCCTTAAACATATGTGTAAAATATATATGCCATATTGATTGTTTCATATCTTTTCTCATTGGTTTCATGAAGGTGGTACTTTTGCATTGTACTCATTGATTTGCCGACATGCTAAGGTCAGTCTTCTCCCAAATCAGCTTCCATCAGATGCCCGCATATCAAGCTTCAGGCTTAAGGTGCCATCTCCTGAACTTGAGAGATCACTTAAAATAAAGGAGAGACTAGAGACTTCGTTGACTCTGAAGAAACTTCTTCTGATGTTAGTGCTTGCTGGCACTTCTATGGTGATAGCTGATGGGGTTGTTACACCGGCAATGTCAGGTTTCGATATGCTATTCTTCTTGCTTTTTTAATGATCCATACACAATACATGGTACGGTTGAATACAGCATAACTGTACTGAATTTGCATATTTAATGATTAGGTAATAACTTATGCTTATGTTTATTTATCCTAATGTAGTAATGTCAGCTGTTGGTGGTCTGAAGGTGGGAGTTGCTGCAATTGAACAAAGTGAGTTGGTATTCCATGCTATTATCAAAATTACAGTGTTATTGCTTTGCTTGCTCTGTTTTCCTCAATGAGTAATAAACCACAGTGGCTGATCAGACCGGTTGGATCGGTGACTGGTCCAATAACATGTATTAGACTGGGTTTTCATTGAACCGGTTAAAAATTGGTTTTTGGGTAAACCAGTAAAAAACCATTTTTATATTTATTTATTGTTTTATTATTCAAAAGTGATTTATAAGTAAAGGGATTTGAACCTTTAACCTCTCAATTTTATAGTAAAAACTAAAGAAAATGCCTTTAAAATGCATTTTTCTGTTAACTATTTACTATATTTAATTGTTATTTAATATTAAAATCTCTTTTACACTGGGCTGGCTGGTGAACTGGGAACTGAAGCCCTCACCAGTTCAACCTCCTATCTGGTTTTTCATTCATTAATTTTCCTTTCTTTGTTAGCAAATTCTATCACAGAGGATTTTTTCATTTCTCAATTTACCATGTTGAGTAGGAATCTTTTGCATAATTTAACTCACATGTACTTAAAATTTACTTGTTTGCTGCATATGGTATGGGATGGTGGTGCTGTTGACTAGCTTTTAGGTCTCTTAGCTTATTAAACGATCCTGAGTCTAGAATTGTTCACAGTATTTCTTTGGCAGCCTTTGTCTTGATTAAGTGCTATTTGTGATGATGATTTAACTTTAGCTAGACTATAGTTTACAATTTGGGATAAATCCTACATTCTGCATGGATTTAATAATAGGATGATGAAGCCCCATCCCTCTCCCTTTTTCTTTTGCCCTTTGCCCTTTTGCCCTTACATTTTAGAGTTTATTTTTCCTTTATGATTTCCAATATTATTACAGGTGAATAGCCATTTTTGGAGTTAACTTTTCTCTTTTCTTTATGTGCAGGTCAAGTGCGGATGATATCAGTTGCCTTTCTTGTAATTTTGTTCAGCGTACAGAAGTTTGGAACAAGTAAAGTGGGACTTGCTGTTGGCCCTGCTTTGTTCATATGGTTTTGTTCTCTAGCTGGCATTGGAATTTACAATCTTGTTAAGTATGACACCAGTGTCTTGAGGGCATTTAATCCTGTTCACATCTATTTATACTTCAAGAGGAACTCAGTTAGCGCTTGGTATGCGCTTGGAGGTTGTCTCTTATGTGCAACAGGTAACACATTAAATAAATATTATCAATTTAATAGTATCCCCTGAATATTTTTTATGTCTCTTGGAAGGTGTTCGTGAAGTTCAGCTAAAGTTATGCGCTTGATTCAGCTTTGTTGAATTTGGAGTAGAACATGAATGGTCATTGTATCTGATCTTACTATCTGATGATGGCTTGTGTTTCAGGGTCTGAGGCAATGTTTGCAGATCTTTGCTATTTTTCTGTGCGATCAGTTCAGGTAATGGAGTGATAAAATTCGTTTATTGAATCATCCGGTTTTTGCTCGTCCTTTTATATGTTATAATGACTGATGAAATTGCTGGTAGTCCTCTACTATCATTCTTACAATTTTTTGATTTGTGTGATAGTGGTTTTTTGCAGCTTACGTTTGTGTTTCTCGTATTGCCTTGTCTGTTGTTGGGTTATCTGGGTCAAGCAGCCTACCTTATTGGAAATCATAATGGTGCTGAGCAGGCTTTCTTTTCTTCAATTCCAAGTAAGTTTTATCAGCAATAGGTAATGGGATCACCAAATAGTTGAATTCCTATTTTTGATTTTGGAACATTGTCTTGCTTGCCTTTCTCTAAATGAGAAACTATTTTGCTCCATGTAGGTGGTGTGTTTTGGCCAATCTTACTCATAGCTAATATTGCTGCTTTAATTGCCAGCCGAGCAATGACAACAGCAACGTTTTCATGCATAAAGCAATCAATTGCTCTTGGTTGTTTCCCTCGTCTTAAAATCATTCATACATCTAGAAAATTCATGGGTCAGATCTATATCCCTGTCATAAACTGGTTTTTGCTGGTAGTTTGCTTGATCGTTGTGTGCTCTATCTCAAGCATTAATGAGATTGGAAATGCATATGGTAACATTTCTTCCTAGTCTAATTTTTTCTGGTTTACTAACAGTCTATCACTTGTTATCCTTGAATGAAATTGTGGTGTCTTGTAACTCACAAAACCTAGGTTCTTTGTGGAATATAAAGAAGTGCTATGCAATTATTTAACTGGAGAAATAGCTGAAACAAACAGCCTAAGAATATCTGATATCAATCTAATAATTTCTTCATACCGTTCTCCTTGCTTTTACACATCTAAGTTTTCTTATCTTTCTGGTTACAATTCTTTTTCTTTTCAGGTATAGCAGAGCTGGGAGTCATGATGATGACCACAATTTTAGTCACCATTGTCATGCTTCTCATATGGCAGATAAACATCATAATTGTGCTTTGTTTTGTGATCTTTTTCCTGGGTTTGGAATTGACTTTTTTCTCCTCAGTTTTATGGAGTGTGACAGATGGAAGTTGGATAATATTGGTTTTTGCTGTCATAATGTTTCTTATTATGTTTATCTGGAATTATGGTAGCAAGCTTAAGTATGAAACTGAAGTGAAGCAAAAGTTGTCAATGGATTTGATGCGAGAATTGGGCTGCAATCTTGGGACAATCAGAGCTCCTGGCATTGGTTTGCTTTATAATGAGCTGGTGAAAGGTGTACCAGCAATATTTGGCCATTTTCTAACCACACTCCCTGCTATCCACTCCATGATCATCTTTGTATGCATAAAGTATGTCCCTGTTCCTGTGGTGCCTCAGAGTGAAAGATTCCTTTTCAGGCGAGTCTGCCCCAAAAGTTACCATATCTTTCGCTGTATTGCCAGGTAAGATGCTCTGGCTGGAAACTTCAGTCCTGTTATCTTGCCTAATCCAGTTCCTTTTCATGCAAGTTGGGAGCTATCATCATTGCAGGTTCAAGTTTTGAATTGCAAGATTTATCATAAAAAGTTACTGAAATGGTAAAATGACACCTGGACAGGGAGTTGTCAAAATTAAACGGGCAATAAAATTGAAAAAGGAGAAATTATCTACTCTCCAAAATTTCTTTGATCAAGCATATTTAATACTTTTTTTTGCTATGTGCACAATTCCTTCCTCTTTCTTGATTTTCTTCACCTTATTCCCTTCTGGCATTCCCTTAGTTGGCTGACCAACCACTTTCTCAGGTATGGTTACAAGGACGTCCGCAAGGAAAATCACCAGACATTTGAGCAGCTGCTGATTGAGAGTCTTGAGAAGTTCATTCGTCGGGAAGCTCAGGAAAGGCAATTGGAAAGTGATGGCGATGAAGAGACCAATTCTGAGGAGGATACCTCTTTCTCAAGAGTTCTCATAGCTCCTAATGGAAGTGTTTACTCACTTGGTGTACCTCTGCTGGCTGAGTTCAGGGGCTCTAGTAATACCATTTCAGAAGGAAGCACCTCAGAGAAGGTGAAGGCAGATTCCCCTACAGATCCATCAATATCTGATGCCGAACATAGTCTAGAAAGAGAGCTATCATTTATACGCAAGGCTAAGGAATCTGGAGTTGTTTATCTTCTCGGTCATGGAGATATTAGGGCAAGAAAGGATTCTTGGTTTATTAAGAAACTAGTTATAAACTACTTGTATGCCTTCTTGAGAAAGAATTGCAGGAGGGGTATTGCAAATTTGAGCGTGCCCCATTCGCAGCTCATGCAGGTCGGCATGACTTACATGGTTTGATGGTCAATTTTCCAACCAAAATAAGGGACATAATTTTTTATCACTTTGAAAAGGGCGGCTTGACAAAGGCGGTTAGCTTGCTCAGATCGAAGTCGCATCAACTCAACCATGCTTTCACCTTTCTCTTGATCGATGCTGGCCGTTTGAATCTGAGGATACTTTCGCTTTGTTAACTAGGTGGGAAGTTTTGTAATGTGGTCGAGTTGCCTTTTCCTGTATTGGTTTTTTCACTGTTACAGCACGGTGCATATCAAATCCAACTCTTGTTGTAATTATGATGTTGAAGGAGGTGTGTATGTGATTTATTGCACTTCATACAACAATTCCACTTCAAAATATTTTTTTGTTAATTAATAATAATCTGACAAACTGGAAACTAAGTTCTATTATGATGATCACATATTGATTTTTATTGACTTTAATTTGAACGGGGTTAGGTTGAACGTGCGTCAAGGGTAAGAGATTTAAAAAAAAAATTTTAATCGGTAAAATGCATAGTTTTTTGTGTCAAATCTTGCCATTTTAAATCTACAAGCAAATGGTGTAGTATTTCTTTTTTTTGGGAGATTTTTGTGGTAATGGTTGTTTGTAGTTTAATTTTTTTTAATTTAATGAAAAAAACATGAATTAAAAAAAATCACAACAAAAAGGTCGGCGTAAATGTCAACCACAACGGCTACTCTTTGGCGTGATACGGATTCTATCACAGCGGCAGAGAAATGTACCCAAAAAAAAAAAAGGACTTGTTTTACGGGATATTCTGACTCCTGCTCCTCTCTTAAGAATTGAATAGCATTAAATGGCGCAGACTACCCTTCTGAATAAAATGATAGGGCCATAAATGCCATTAGATTTCAGGCCAGAAAATTCACTAGAGGCTTAATTTCTTCTCGTTTTATTTTCTCTTCTCTCTCTCTTTTGTTTCTCTATGCCGCTACTCCAATCTTGAGATGGAATCTGCACTTTCAGCTACGGCGACGACATTCACTCTCTTCTCCATTTCCAGAGCCCTAAACCGTCATCTGTCCAACAGCAAAACCCCTCTCATTGCTCAATGCTTCCAGACTCGTCTCTTCGCTCAGGGCCGAGTCGTTAGCCCTCTCGCCTCCCTCTTGTATTCGTCTCCACTAAGGAGCTTGTGCGCCAACTCCGTTCCCAAACGCTTGCACCGCCGTTTGGAGTGCGTCGCGAGTTCCACTGCCTCTTTTAAGACCGGTGGCGGTGGCGTGTTTGGTGGCGGTGATGGTAGTGGCGGCGGCGGCGGCGGTGGGGAAGGAACTGGCGGCGGAGATTCAAAGGCGAAATTGGGAGCGGGAGGAGCTGATCAACTCTCTTCCTTGTCTTCCGATGTCATTATTCTTGATGTGGGAGTATGATTTCCCTTACTTTCTCTCCACATTCGATTCTTAAATTTAGAAAGAAAAGAAATTGTGCCAGGTTACTTATTTTTGCCCATAAATTTTCTGTGTGCTAGGGAATGACTTGCGGGGGGTGTGCTGCGAGTGTGAAAAGAATACTAGAAAGTCAAGTAAGTTGTCTCTATTTTTTTTTTTTTTAATTCTGTTGTAAATCGAATTAATTGTATTTCTCACTGTGTCTTTGCTTTACCGTGCAGGCGCAAGTGTCATCTGCGAGTGTCAATCTCACAACGGAGACTGCAATAGTGTGGCCAGTGTCCGAAGCCAAGGTCGTACCAAATTGGCAAAAAGAGCTAGGAGAGGCACTAGCAAGACATTTGACTAACTGTGGTTTTAAATCTAACCTTCGAGGTAATAAGCAATCATCATCATTCTCGCCAATTTGTTGTTTGAATATGGTTTGCATTCTTCTCTTCGCCTATTATTAGATTATGTGCTTGACTAGCAAACTTCATCAATGCTGTGCACTGTTAGATTGACTAATAATTGACAACATTAGAATAATGAGTTGTCATTCCTTGAAATTTTGGTCATGGTAGTAATGTGCTGATTTGAGGACTAATCAATGATTGGGTCATTAGACATTCAGTCTTATTAAGTTCCTGCTTAGCTAGGCTATCTTTTGTCATGTAGCTGTAAACATTGTACCATACCCAAAGTTCGGAAGAACTATGTTCTTAAGGGTCCCTTTCTAATATTTTGGTGTCATGCACATTGCTCTTGGAGATCATGAATTTTGTTTGAAATTTTATGTTATCCACTTTGGTTACCTTGTAGATGCTATGTATTAGTCATTGAAGCTTAACTGTAGGTTATGAAGTTCCTCTTTGGGAGTAGATTGAAGTATAATCTGTTTTCCCTAATGTATGAATATGAAATGTTGTACGTGTTAGACCAAAATTTGTTTCTGGTCTTTGAAAATAAGTCTTATAACACAAGTTATTATTACTGATCCATTAAGCTCCACTAACTTTAGATGAAAAAGGCTTAACATATGTTCAGGTTTTCATATTATTCATGTAAGTTTGGTGGGTTTAGCAGCAGGTCAGGGAGCTATTGAAGGAGATTTCTCACCATAATAATGAAAGGATTTTTGTTGAAGAGCAACCATAATTCCTTATGGTATGCCTCTGAAACTCATGACTCTCATCCACATATTAGATTTGAAAATATAGGCTTTGAAGTCATAGATATAATTAATTTACCATTTCTCCTTTAAATAGGTCAGCCATGGGATCCATTTGAATAAAATGGTTGGTGAGAGGATTTGGTGCTGAAGAACCCTAATATTTTGATGAGTTAGTTGTGACCATTCTATAGTAATTATCAAGAAATTGTGGTTTTTTCATTCTTGGAATGTTAATTGTATTCTTCAGTAAGACATTAAGGAGAGTATTTGTTCTGTATTAATTTGCAGCAAAGTTGTATTGCAGTTGAAGATTGTGAAGGAATACTCACTACCTTCTTTTGTTTCTGAGGTTCTGTTTTGTGAACCTCTTTTGAGTGACCTGTACCCATTAAAATGGACTATATAATAAACAATTGTTATATGAAGATGGGATTTCTTCAGGTTCAACATGGCTGTGTGTCTCTTAAAAAGTTTTGCTTGTGAAGAGTTTCTAAATTTTGTGGTTTGCTGAACATTGGTAATGTTTTTTTATTAGACAAGGTGAAATAACATCCTACCATCTACCAGTTTTGTTCCTTAGATTACTTCTCCAAATGTGTCATATGTTCTTTTTTTAAAGATATGTCAAATGAATAATCTTAGGCTTTCTGGGGTATAGTCGAGGATTCTTCTGGCAGAAGTTACAAGGATTTATTTCCTATAGTTGTCATCCGAGGTGTTGTAAATCTTTAGTCAGCTATTTGTTTGCCCATAGCATAATGAATACCATATGATACTTGACATTGATTGAGAGCATGGATATGGTCCTAAATAGAGAACCATGGTGGAATCTCATCTATGTAGCCATCTCCAGTATAAAAAAAAAGGCTTTCTTGTTGTTTTTCTCTGATATTAATTGCTATAAAAGATCGTGCTGCATGTTGGTCAAATGTAATTTAAACTAGGAATTTTTTTTATTCTTGTTGTGCACTGAGTGGTTTACTTGATGGCAAAGTTTAGCTGTTCTAAGATATTTTCTTGACGTACTTCCCTTGATTTGTTTCCAGATGTTACTTGTGTTTTACAGAGTTTACTGCACAATTTCCTTCTACTAATCTATTTGATGGATTAACTGCTTGGCTTATTTCCTTCATTCAGATTCTGATCGAGATAATTTCTTCAAAGTTTTTGAAAGAAAGATGGATGAAAAGCGTAACCGCTTAAAGGAAAGTGGTAGATACTTTTCCCATTCTTTTTCCTTTTCGGTAGATTGTAAATAGCATGCTAATGGTTGTCTTCCTAAGTAATTCAAGGTTCATTTCTTACACTGTTATAGGTCGTGAGCTTGCTGTCTCCTGGGCTTTATGTGCTGTGTGCCTCATTGGCCATCTCGCCCATATTTTAGGAGCTAAGGCTTCATGGATGCATGCATTTCATTCAACAGGGTTCCATTTCTCATTGTCTTTGTTTACCTTGCTTGGTCCTGGGCGTCAACTTATCCTTGAGGGTGTTAAGAGCCTTTTAAAGGGAGCTCCAAACATGAACACTCTAGTTGGTCTTGGAGCTTTATCTTCTTTTGCTGTTAGTTCGCTAGCTGTGTTAATACCAAAATGGGTAAGCCTTGATCTTTATTCTTACATGTATAGTCTATCATATTCATCTTTTGTATATGTAGACATATGAACATATGAAATGCAGTAAAATAACTGACATGCTTTTTGAAATCTATGTAGTTTATAGCATGTTTGAGACTTTTGTTTTCCTTCTAACAAAACAATGTCTCTTTTTAGGTATTCTTGTAGTTCTCTTTGTAAATAAACTTCTAGGTTATCGATTCCTTTTTGTCAGTACTTAGTACCAGCTTCTCATTTTTCATTTCAATTAGTTTCAGTGTTTATGTATTTAGAGTTGGAGTGTATGATGTTCAGATTATCATTTATACATACTAGAGAAGTTCCAGTTCAGTGTTTCCTTGGCTTTCCAACACTCTCTTGTTATTCATTTTACCTCCCTTCTTTTAGTTATTCTATTTGAACTGAAATACAGCTTGTATGAGTTGACAAATACCAAAAGATCACATTTCATGATATATAAAGGTCACACATGAAAGAACCAAAAAGCATCCACAGATTGGAACTTACAAGAGAGGTAGGAGAAAAGACATCCACAAATATTCTCAGTTAGCTCACTGGTTAACTGCTACTTTCCATATTGGAGTTGTTGCCAATCTCATTTCTCTAGTCCTCTTTGGTACCTCATTCTGGCATGTCACAGCCATAGTTGCTGAGTGATTGTATTATTAAACGAAAAAAATCATGTTGTAAGCAAATAGATTTATAGTTCCATTCAAGTTTGGTATGGAAGAGCTTGGGATTACTTCCTAAGCAGATGTAGTGAGACGATAAAATGGAATCTAGGGCTATAGTTAGCCTGGACACCCTATCAGAAATCTTCATGAGATATAAGACCAACAAGGTTGCTGAGATTTGTATGTTTAGGTCTTTCATATATTTTGGCCACTTATCTGAGACATGTGACTGCCCGATATCTGCTAATAAGAAAGAAACATGGGATAATTATGTTTATTAAACATCCGTGGCACAGAATTTGACTATTTAGGATTTCATATATGGATTTCACAGAAATATTTTGTTTCATTAGTTGTATATTTCAGCCTTTTCTTTAGTTAGATTCCGGTCTATTCCATGTTTTATATAATATTTTATTGGTCTTGCATGGAATGCCATATCAGATTGTCCTTACTAAAATGTAAAATTTTAATAAGGTTCATCCTTCAACTAGGCATGGGGTTGGCCAAAAAAAAAAGGCATAGTTGATTAAGCTCAAATAATTGAAAAGTAGAAACTTTTTATCATACAGTATTAGTTGGAATTTGAAGTGCAAGTGTATTTTCTTATGATTGATCTGGTTTACTGATTCTGGTAGATGAATAAGGTGTGGATGTAGAGAACATGTGGATGGGACATTTGGTTTAGACTTCAGTCCTCTTTAACTGATACATGTATGCAGGGTTGGAAGGCATTCTTTGAGGAACCGGTCATGTTAATAGCATTTGTCTTGTTAGGAAGGAATCTTGAACAGAGAGCGAAAATCAAAGCAACCAGTGATATGACTGGACTTCTTAGTGTTTTGCCCTCAAAAGCTCGTCTTATGGTTGATGGTTCCATTGTTGAAGTTCCTTGTAACAGTCTCTCTGTTGGAGATGAGATTGTTGTTCTACCAGGAGTAAGTAAAATAGACTTGTCTTTTAACCAGTTTAGCATCTCATATCTTCTTGTTTTCCTGTTTGGTAATGTTTTACTCTTTTATAATGTTGTTGTTCCTGTTTGATATTCATATCCGGATGTTATCAAAGTGTGTTGTTCCTTCCCAACTTAGGATTTAAAAGTTATGATGCTAAGTTTTTTTTTTTTTTTTTTTGGCAAACTTAGGATGCCATGTTACCATTGCTGCTGTTAACTATAGTCTTTTGAAAATGTTAAAGTGCTAAACTGTTTCATGAATTTTCTTTTGTTATAGAAGGCTTTGCTATTTCGTGATAAAAATTCTTGTTTTATTCTAGGACCGTGTTCCAGCAGATGGAATAGTCAGAGCAGGTAGAAGCACCATTGATGAGTCAAGTTTTACAGGGGAGCCAATGCCAGTTACCAAAGAACCTGGGGTATTGCTTTTCAGTTGTAACTATTTCTCTTTTTTTGAAGATTCAGATGGTATCAATAGTAATGTTCAGTTTAATACATGCATGGTTATATGCCATGGAAATTTGCCATCTTCATTTCTTCAACATGGCCAAAAAAATTCCTTTTCCATCTCTTCCTCTTCTCTTTCTGTCTGATTCACTTTTCATCTTTGAATTTTATCATCCAAATTCAGTTACTAAGTCCATGGTACTACTAGCAGCCTCCTTTCATAATAGTCTACCAAAGTGAAACTTATGTTTGTGCTTTCATAATAGTCTACCAAAGTGAAACTTATGTTCGTGCTAGAGTCAAGTTGCAGCTGGAAGCATAAACCTTAATGGAACTCTCACAATTGAAGTGCGGAGACCTGGTGGTGAGACTGCAATGGGAGACATTGTTCGTTTGGTGGAAGAAGCACAGAGCAGGGAAGCTCCAGTACAGCGGTTGGCTGACAAGGTTCTTCATTTTGTACCCTATATTTTTTTTAGAACTTATTTCATACCTCAATATGGCTAAAGAAGGCCTTTTTGGTAGACTATGATAAAATACATGTTGGAATACCATCAGACAGCTTCTTGTTGTTAGAATTACTGTTCACATGATTAACCTGGATTGCTTGTGGTGCAAAATAGGGCTCTAGTCTTGTCTGCCCTCCAACACTAAATGGTTTTAGAACCCCCTCAGTTGAATAATTCTGTTAGATTACTTTTATGCGCTTGTTTGTCTTTTCTTATACTCAACATGATTTTCTTCAGCCTTTTAGTTTCAATCGAAACAAGTAATTCTAGAAAGCATATTATGTCAAGGCAAAATTTTTTAATGATGTCTATTTGAAATTTATAGAGGAACAGTAAAACCTTTTTGCCATGCATCCATGTCGCATCTTTAACTCAGCCTTTATTCGTGGTTGTAAAAGGTCCAGTTGACTCCAATCTTCATAGTTTAAAATTTGTAACTCTGTTGAACTGATGATAGTGTAATCCTGCAGTTGATGCAAAAGCTGATAAACTTAATGCCCTCCCCCTTTTCTTTTTCCTATTTCAATATAAAGAATTGGAATGATTATTTAACACAATGCGGTTGTATCAGCACTCCATGTTTGCAATTAAAGGGTATAATGAGAAAGAAAAAGAACCGTGGCTTATGTTGTTTGCTTTTCGTGGAAAGTCAATTCAACTTTCTGAAAGGTTTTTTGGAATCTCCAGGTGTCTGGCCACTTTACTTATGGAGTAATGGCTCTCTCTGCTGCTACGTTTATGTTCTGGAATCTGTTTGGTGTACGAATTTTGCCAGCTGCCTTTTCTCAAGGAAATGCAGTTTCACTTGCGCTACAGCTTTCCTGCAGTGTCCTGGTATGATACATGGGATTCTACATGCATATTGAATGCTGTCTATGTCATTCATATGCATTAAACAACTAGAAAGAAAAAATGAACAGTTTAGAAATTATACGAATGATAAAAGTTGATTAAATTGGTTGATGTTGCTTCTTCTGAATGCCGCTCCAGCTGTTGCTTACTTCATAGTCTGATGTAAATGTGGATATTTTGGCATCCATTTTAGATATATTCAAAAAGTATATTACTAGTAACTTTCATTTTTTTCTTTACTTTTTAGTCAGTTTGTGGAGTGCTTAAATCCTTTTTCTTTTTTGGTAGCATGCTATTCAACCTTTATTCGTGATATAGGTTGTTGCTTGTCCATGTGCCCTGGGCTTGGCTACACCTACAGCGATGCTGGTAACCTCTTGATTTGCATTGTACACCATATTAGACTAGTGATATAGTTAAAAATATAGATGATATTGTGTTATGATCTATATTGGGTATTTTCAGGTTGGAACTTCATTAGGGGCAACAAGAGGATTGCTTTTGCGTGGTGGAAATATTTTAGAGAAATTTTCTATGGTGAATGCAATTGTATTTGACAAAACAGGAACCCTTACTGTTGGTAGACCTGTTGTGACAAAGGTTGTAACTCCAGGCGGCATGGACCATAGAGGTTACAGGTTGAGTGGTTGCTGAAACTTTAACATTAAATGGTTATGGTTTTACTTTGTGGAGTTAAACTATCAGTGATCTAGTCCATTTAATCGCAGATTAACTTTATGTAAATTTTGTCTCTTTTTTTCTCTGATGAGCTGCCTGTGTTGTTATCCAAAGATATACTTTCTTGTGGATTTTATTTTTAGATTATGTCCAAGTTTGTCCAGTCTGATGTTGAACATATTTAGGAGTCATTAAAACTTCAGTCTTCTTTTGACTGTCACTTTTGTCATTACTTCCAAAAGGAGAAACAAAATATTCAAAAACAAAAGATAAGTTTTTAGGAGTTTAAAATTAAAAAGCTGACTCATGATGAAAAAAAGCATGATTGTACTTTTATGTGGACTATTTTATTTAAATTGGTTTACTTTTTAACTACATTTTCATGTTATTATGATTTTTTATTTGCATTTGCTCATGCTTTATAGCAAAAGAAAGAAAACATCAAAACGCAAGTGTATAGCAGATGTAGCCTAAATAAGCCTGTATATTTCCTAGCTCCCAAGGTTAGTGTATAGGTACTATATTGACATTTTGTGTTAGTTTAGAGGCAATACTTGCTAAAAGTCCAGTTTGTGAATCCATGATATCAAATTAATTGAGAAGAGATGATTTTCATGGTGCATCCACACTAAGGTTGGATAGCAGATATCCTTGGTGCATGTCTCAGTTGAAAGTTGCAAGCATTATGCTGACAAAAAAATCACATTAATAGAGTTGATGGTAGTTACAAGGGTCTTGATGCAACTTTAACTATATCTTGTCACTTTTTTTAGATGATCTGATGTAACCTATCCTGTTTATGCATGAAAGATTATGTGCAGCTTTTGCCAGGTTATTATAATTTTGATGATGATAAACTGCATGCTTTGATGCAGTCAAAATTTAGATAATATTTGGTCAGAAGATGAGGTTCTCAAGTTAGCTGCTGCTGTAGAATCAAATACTGTTCACCCAGTTGGTAAAGCTGTTGTGGAAGCTGCCCGGGCTTTAAAATGTCAAAATATGAAGGTACTTTTGTTTCTTATCTTGAATATGGGCTTCTGTTTAGATTTTCATTTAATCCTTGTTTTGATGCAGAATTATGCAATAAGAACTGCAAAAATTTACCCTAAATAACAAAGAACTCCAACTGAGCTTTCAATATTGCAGCCATAACCTGTCGTTTTCTATCAGCAATTTTATTCTTTTTTAGCTTTCAAGCTGTCCACCAACTTACATGACACTTGTTTTCTTTCAATTTTTTGGAAATAGCCAATATTCCTTACATCTGCCTGGACAATGATGATGTCCTTTCTATTTATCTGTTGGCTGTGATTTTCATGCAAGAGGCTATTTTTGCAGGTGGTGGATGGAACATTTGTTGAAGAACCTGGATCTGGTGCTGTAGCTATTGTTGATAATAAAAAAGTGTCAGTTGGGACATTAGAGTGGGTTCAGAGGTAGTGTATTTGTGTGTTTGCTTATCTGTTTATGCAACTCTAATTCAGGATGTATTGTGGCCTCATATTTTCCATAAATAATATATTTTATTAAATGCTTCTTCTAATTGCATTATGCACCAAAAGCTTTTTTTTATGAGTACAACACATTCAAGAATGTTTGTACGTGTTAAACTTATTTATTTTTGTTTTTTTCAAATATAGAGACTAGTACATTTCAGTGGACATTGTTTCTGTTAGTTGCTTTCATTTAAAATTTTTGGAGATGATTTGTTCAACATAGTAAGTACTATAATCTTCTGGTAAATGAGCTCTTTAAGAACAATTTCATTAGTCAGAAACTCATCTTTGTTTTATGATTGAATGATTAATGTATGCGGCAATAGTTCTTGTTCTAAATCATTTTATTGATTGCCTATTATTGGTTATTATTGGTGCTTGCATCACTATTCAAAATCTAAATGTATCCTTCTGAATCACATTGACGACGTTTTGAGTCTTTATTATGCAGGTGGTAATTGGCAAAGTAAATAGGACCTTAGTGGTAAATGGTGATTATAATATTTTTCTATCCCTTTTAACGATGAAAAATCTCACAAGCAGGGGTATTTTTGAAATTGAAGTGAAAAGGCAGAGAGATGATTTTTTTTCTTTTAGTCTTAATCCTTTTAGATATTTGGTTATGAACTACTTATATAACCCTTGAAACCCAAGAAAGCCAACCATATGGATTGTAATTTGTAATTCTTAAAATAGAACATATGGAATACACAAAACACCCGTGCACCTTTTAATCTACCACATTAACTCTATTTTGTAAATTATGAGAGCAATTAATTCAATTTTAGCAATGTCAATCAACCAAGAGTTGATATATACAGGTAGCAGTCCCCTTGTAATTTAGGGATCATTAGGTTCTTTCTATATAACATAGGAGTTTATTTTCTGCAGGCATGGAGTTGGCGAGAATTTGTTTCTGGAAGTGGATGAGGAGCTTAGGAATAAATCTGTGGTGTATGTTGGAGTTAATAATACCCTCGCTGGTCTTATTTATTTTGAGGATCAGATCAGAGAAGATGCCAAGCACGTTGTTGATTCTTTGCATAGGCAAGGAATCAGTGTTTACATGCTTTCTGGGGACAAAAGGAGCACTGCTGAGTATGTTGCATCAATTGTTGGAATTCCGAAGGAGAAGGTAATTGTTTTTTTTTCCCCACAATTGAACACCTAATTCATGTAGGTCAGTATTTGGTGCGAAATTACTAGTTGTTGTTGAGCTCCGCATGGAAAGAGATGATAAGAGTTACTTGGGTTGTAAGGGCTTAATTAATGACTATTACGGGACTGTTTAAAAGGCACCTAAGGGATGGTGAACATCTATAACCCAAAAAGTGATCTGGCCTTAAGAGATCAGAAATCGCTATTTAGGGTATTCCGACTGGTGTTAAGTATTAAACTTACCATCTGTTTAAACTACTAATCTGTTTGAAGCCAAAATCAATCTCTCATAGGTCCAGCGTTCTGTAAAAGAGCTAGAGCTTTAGAATTTATGCACTATATATACTATCTGAAGAAATTTGATGTTGTTTGGATTGGGAATAGGAAAAGAATAAAGGGGGGAGGTGGTTGGGGTTTATTCTGCTAACATTAGTTGACAAAGAAATTGATAAAAGAATAACACAACAAAATGCAGATGCATACAACTTAAGAATCCATACAGAGTAAAGGAGTAAAAAACTTTCTAAATCTGAGAGATTTTGTTGCCAGGCATAGAAGAAAAGAAGAGGTGGTATGTAATGAGAAGACTGCTAATCAAAAGACTTGAGGAAAACACTGGTTGCTATCATCAGGATAAGAAATAGTAATACCTTTAAAACTAGAATACTTCATTACTTAAAAAATTCCGTGGAAGTAATAGTCCAGGTATCTGTGCATGTTCCTAGAGGGTCTCATTCTTAAAGCGTGAGCTCTGTGTTTTGGGATCTATGTTTGATTTGCTTTAATTTGCAGACACGGGTCAAGCAGGCCCTTTTTCGTTTTTCTTTCTCACTAATTCCTATTTGGTTGTTTTAAATTTTAATTTTTTAAACCAATAAGTGTTATAAATTCTCCAAATCAAGCTTTCACTTTGTTTCTAGGATTACAAAGAATAATTAAATCCATTTTGTAGTCATAAATGTTTGTATATATGACCAAGCACATCTATTTTTTGTGTTTGAACTATCATCACTTCACTTTATGTAATTGATTTGACATTACAAAAAGATAGATGTTTTTGGCAGATTTGGAAATACTTAGTCTGAAATTACTATTCAAAACTTTGACTACGATTCTATTTGTTTTGCAATTATTTTTTGGTACATTACAATAATTCACTTTTTCTTTTCCTCTCTTTATAAGTTTATACTGACCATATACATGACTACATCATATGTGTAATATATTCAGACATAAAATTGAGCATGATTAGATATTCATACACGGTTTCCAGGTGCTGTCTGAAGTTAAACCCAGTGAGAAGAGGAAGTTTGTAAGTGAACTTCAGAAGAATCAAAATGTTGTAGCTATGGTTGGTGATGGAATCAATGATGCTGCTGCCTTGGCTTCAGCACATATAGGAGTTGCTATGGGTGGCGGTGTTGGTGCCGCAAGTGAAGTATCTTCTATTGTATTGATGGGCAACCAGCTGTCACAGGTATTTTCTTACAGTAAATTTATAGATTGTACAATTGCGTACTAAATGATATTAGTGGTAGACATAATTGTACTTGAGTATTGAATCAGTATATATTTTTTCAGTTAATAATATATTACGGTGAGCAACTTTTAGTATGAAAAGGCCTCTTAATTTCTAGTTTTCAAATGAATTTCACAATATGATAGTCCATCTTTATAAAACTTGGTGCCAATAATTTATTTCAGCATCTTGCCTTTGTCTTTATTACAATTCTGATTGGTCAATGTGAGTCTAATTAGAGCATATATAGTGGTGAAAATGGAAACTTTAATGGTTGTTAAGAAAAGCAACTGGCGAGATTTACAGAAGTACTAGGAATAGTATAATTTATAGAAGCATGGAAAGAGAGTACATTTTATGGTTGGCATGCAATAATACTTATACGTTGCAAATCATGGTCTCAAAATAAGTGCTCTTTATTTTATTTCCTTTGTCCATGTTTTCTGTTTTGTATGTCCCAAAATAAATTGTCATCTTTTAATTCCTGAACACCTAAAATTCTTTTTTTTTATATATTACATATTAATTTTTCAGCATTAAAAACCATTAAACATCAATATTATAAAAATTTTAATTTTTAAAATAAAATACCTATTTCTCTATCAGAAAAGTAGACTTCTCTTTTAGTCTGAGATGCATATTGGGCTGATAAGAGTCTTTCAAACATGGACTAAAATTGGTCTAGTATATCATGAAATTCTGTTATGTGAATTCAGTTGCCCTTTCTACAATCAACTCTTCTTCATGTTCCGCCTTGTCACGAGTGTCACATAAATTGACTCAGTTTTATCTCCACTCAGTTGCTTGATGCTTTGGAGCTAAGCAGGCTAACAATGAAGACGGTGAAGCAAAATCTTTGGTGGGCCTTTGCATACAACATTGTAAGTTTTTGTGCATTTTGACACCTATTTATGTCAGAAGTAGCAGTTAGCACAACAGTAACGCCAAAGAGAAAAATCCCATATGGTTCCCTTTTTAAACAAAGCAAGGGAGTGAAATACCTGATGTGAATTATTTGTTGCTTCCTCTTGCTATTGCCAAATTATACACAACTTTTTCTGTGACTTCCATTTTTACCAATTTCTTGCTCTATTCAGTATTTCCGTTGCTAAACTGAAAGGGCAAAATTGAGCAAACATCTGATATTGCTTTTGTTACGATATAGGTTGGGATTCCGATTGCTGCTGGAACATTATTGCCGCTTACTGGGACCATGCTTACTCCATCAATTGCCGGAGCCCTTATGGGTCTCAGTTCGATAGGGGTGATGACAAATTCGTTGCTTTTAAGATTCAAATTTTCCTTAAAACAGCAGCAAGCAGCAATTTATATTAACACTGATTTTGTAGAGGATCCAAAGGGAAGTTGAAGAAACCTTATTCTAGTGCATTATGACATAAACCTCATTGATTCCATGAAAAATCCTTCTTGTCTAAAGAACATCAGAATTTTTGAAGAAATTGTGTATTTTCATCTTGTTGGGGATTAAACTTTTCAATGTTTCCACTGTAGTGTACAAGTATCACTTTCTTCGTGGGAGTCTGTCTTCTTTTAAGGTTTCGCTTGTAAAAGGAGGAAACAAAATAGATAATGCTACGTAGGTGATAAATAAAACAATTGACAATGTACTGTCTCAGAATAGAGAGTTTCTCATTAGAAAAAAAAGAGGACTTTAAAATTAGTTAGCAACACACTGAATCGATAATTAAAAAAAAAAAAAAAAATCTGAAACTGAAGTCACCCTATGCCCATAATACCTGATATAGTGAGAGGATAATGGTCTTTTTCATTTTCGAAAACCTAAGGTGTGGCTGAGGACAAGTATCACGGGTTAAGATTTAAGCTTTGAACTCGCACGATTTCGAGATTCGAGCATTCACCTTTTTGGCGTCTCAAATCAGTCTTTTTGTTATGGTTTACATCCTTGTAAGGTATTATTCGTTCTGGTCCCTTTGACCTCACGGTTTTGTCCTACAAAAATGACCTCATAAGGCGGAGATGGTGTGAATCTTTTTATATCCCAGTGACCCTCTTCTTATGTTAGATGTGGAATTCAGGACTCTTCTTTAGGTCCGTGACATTCTCTCGCACCCAACCTCGTGACGCTCTCGTCACGGAGGTTGGCCATCTTGCATACCTCTTTCGAGGTGCTTGGCGTAGATCGAACGATTTAGGGTTGACTTTGATACCACTTGTCACGGGTCAAGACTTAAGCTCCGAACCCACGCGGCTTCGAGACCCAGACATTCACCCTTCCGACGTCCCAGATCAGCCTTCCTACCACGGTTCACACCCTTATGAGATATTGTCCGCTCTGGCTCCCTGACCTCACGGTTTTGTCCCACAAAAAGCACCTCATAAGGCGGAGATTGTGTAAATCCTTTTATATCTCAGTGACCTTCTTATTATATTCGATGTGAGATTCAGGACTCTTCTTTAAATCCGTGACACAAGAAACACGGTAATTAAGAAGGTCCAAGGGGTCCCTGCCTTTTCTCTGTCCCTTTCCCAGAGTATCTGCTCAACCCGACAGTCTGTCGCAATCTGAGGTGAACTCTGATAACTCTCTCGGTTTAAACTGTGTTTAGGATAACTGAGAAAAACTTTTTTCTCAATCTTTATGTTTCATGATCCTCTGGGTTTTGCATTATAGTGACGGATTAAACGGTAGCTAAAAACTTGACGATATTAACACTGGATGTAAACGGAGATTGTTTGATTCTAAAATTGACAAACAATGGGATCAATCAGAATGATATCCTATCCTAATGAATTGGATTAATACGAACAACCTTTCATTATCATTTATTCTCAGTTGCAATTTCAACTGCAAATATGAAATTGCGCCAGCACCTCTATTTCTATATAATTTCTCCATGTCCCATGAGGGAATCATCTGCCTAATTCAGAGATGACATTAGAAGACTGGCAATTTCCAGTTGACATTTCTAATGCAAACAACGATGAAATAACATGTATCCAGAAATGTAGTCGAAAACTAAAACTGTTATGAAACCAAGGAGAAAATATGATAGCTAAGAAAATGTCAATTTTAATGCTCATAAAATTCACCCAAATTTGAAAATTATCATATGCCACTCTCCCTCTTTCTTTCCATAGGGCAAACTATCTATCTATGCTCACTCCTATTGATCACCACATACAAAAGAAAGATTATTCAGGTTTGCATCAAACAGGAATCCCTAAAAGAGTCTCCATAATCCGATGTAAGAGTTAACGATAACCAAGAGGAGCAGGAGCGTCTCTCAATTCCTTTCCCTGAAACTGAATATCCTGCATACAAAAGAATATTGTACCCAAAAATAAGCATTAAGATCATAATTGAACAAAGAGATGGACTTGCATTTTTTATCACCAATAACCAGAGAAAATAATTTCCGTCGTTCAAAAAAGAAGGGGGAAGAACATGCTCTGTTTCAGGTATATAAAATTTTAGCACTTGAATACTGTATAAATATGTAGTCATAGTATTACCAAATACAGACTAAACAACTATCAATCAATCTTTAAAGAAACATGATCCAGTCCATCCCAACTGACATGTTGCCGGGATGCCAAATTAAATTCAAAAGGATATATCTTTATAAATTCGAAATTACAATCATGTGTTCAAAACATCAAAGAAACGAAGAAGAGAACAAAAGTTCATACACTAAAATTTACAAAAATGTATCAACTGATCAACAGTGATAGTACGTCTTTATGTAAGAGTAAATGGAGGGTCAATTTTTTAATTTTACCATACGAGTCTATTAATAATCAGCTTTTCAAAATTTAACCAAGGTTTTAGAAAAAGAATATAATGTAATCACTTTCTTACATTAGTCTGATGCAAAAGTATGACCTTAAATGATGGAATTTTTTTTAGGTATAAATTCCCAATTTCTCGTGCTTTTTCACAAATTGTCAGACCTATTATTTGATATGAAAAACAACCATAAAATACTTTATCAATGTTGAAATAGATGGCAAGACGCATGCATAGTGAACTGTTAAAGAAATATGAGCATGGAAGTGGAAGAGGCAAGTAAATACGTACAGAAGCAAAATGGTTAACATCCCTATGATGAGCTTCATCAGCACGAATCACGGTTATAACATCCTTGAGGGTAGCATCTTTAGGCAATCTCCAGTAATCTATTGCAATGGCAGGGGCTGGAACATTTTCTACCCCACCACGTTCAATGCCCTTCAAATACTCTGTATACGAGTGGATAGCTTCCTCCTCCAAATATCCAACAAATCTATGTGCCAGTTTGGGAGAGAGCACATAAAGAACAAAGAAGGCATTGAAGTAGACTCCCTGCACGGCCAGCACAAGAAGCCTCTCATACCACTTGGGTTTCACAAGCTCCACCATGGTCATCAAATGCATCCTCTCATTCTCTGCTTCTTCAAGCAAGGCTTTAATCCATCCACCACTTTGCTGGAACTTACGGAGAGACCTCAGATGCAGAAGCATCCCCGCAACCATACCAGGGACAGCTGCCACTGTTTCCAGCATCATAGCATGACAGCCATAACGTTTCTGCATTTCAAGAAAGATAGATCAAATACCAAAATAACTACATGACAATAAGCTTTAAACCTGGAGATATAAAAAAAGCCACGCAGAAAGTATGGAGTTTGTTTTCATACCTCCAACACCAACAATGCCTTGAAATAGTATACATACAATTAAACAATTACAGATAATGCAATTATGGGACAGAGAGGGTAAAAAAAACCTGGAAGAACAGATCTACAGGAATCCGAAGGAGTTTGACTGTCCTGTAAGCGAATTTATCCACAAAATTCTTTGGCACATGGTGCTTTTTCAAATCAATTGACAAGTCTGCCCTGTAAGTTTCCCATGGCTTCATTAAAGAGCAAAAACAAACAGCACAGAAATTAGCACGTCAAACTGAAAGACTGATGGTAATTTCTCAATGTTTTCAGATCAGATTTAGTAGAAAAAGAATAATAACACGTTTAAAATCCTTTAACAAAATATAATTTATTAGTTCATTTCTACAACATTTAGGTGTTTCTTTAAAGCTGAATTAGTCAAAATTGATTAAACGAATTCATTCATTTTAATTCTTTAAATTATAAGCCAAAGGGAAAAAAGAAAGCATACGAAAGAACTGACCAATCGTATTTTACTTTCTTTTGATTAGATATCCAAACACGACCTTAGATTATGATTAACAGTAACGAGTCGAAAACATAGTAGCTTAGAATACAGGTGGAAATGAAAAATCAAAAGTCAAATCGCAGAACCGGTCCAGGAAGAAAAGGAAAGAAAATGCATTGAAACTTTTGATAATGAAAAAACACAATAATATATTTTACAACCAAACAAGAAAAGACACAGTGAAGAAGGAATAAATCAGGTTTAACGAAAATGGAAAATGCCTTAAAAAAACCAGGACAATTAACTGTTGATATCCTGCAAAATGAAAACGAGTTTTAAAGCATGGAAAGATGAAACTTGAAAGGTAGGTACCATGAAACAGTTCCAGGGCCAGTCTGTGCCATCCTCTCTAGTGATCTTAGGCCTTGAAATCCCCCAATAACTTGACAGCGACAATTCCTTCCCCTTCTTCTCTTCCGTCGCCGAATTATTCTTTTTCTCTTCCTTCTCCGACGGCGCTTTCTCCATCGAAGGAGGGGCAGAGCTCATCATTCTTCTCCACTCAAAACCACTAAATATGACGCCGTTTTGTTGACAGCAAATCTGCATGCTTCTCCCAGCAATAGCGGCCCCGTAGACCTGTCCATTGCTGATGCTGCTTCTACAGTAACTTCGACCATTGATCAGGCCTTGCATCACTGACCTTACCACGAAACGATTCATTCTCCTTTCTTTTTTCTTTTTTCAAAGTTTTGATTGTGAATTGTTATAACTTAATAAGAGCGTGAAATGGCAATTATTTACATAGAAGACCCGACAAGCTGGAGAACGATTAATAATTGTGGGAAACGGAGAATATGATTCGGTGTTTCGCGGTGTATTTTTATTGTCTGAGATCTTGGGTTGTGTAAAATAGGGAGTTTCTATGGAGTTTTTTTCCAGATTAGAGTACACTGCAATTTTATTTCCTTAAGTACTTGAATTGTAATCAATAGAGTTTATAATCAATAGAGTACATTATAATCAATGGTTCGTTTCTATTATTGGATGGAGTTGAACTTAATATAGTCTCTACTACTGGTTCAATCAGTTTGTTTTGCAACCAAATGCATTCCTTTTGTATTGCATTGTGTACTGGGTTGGAATATGTGAAAATCAATTCGTTGCATCAAGATACTTAAGGAATTGAGAGACAAGAAAAATTTTCAAATATTAGTTAATTCAACTGTGGAATTATGTGACAGTGTTGAATATAAATCAAAGGGTAAAAGGCAAAAGAAAAACAAATAAATTTATTAGCAAAGGGGAAATTTTTTTCTTTTTTGTTCCCAAATGGGAGCTAAAGAAGTTTCTACTATTGTTTCTTACAAAAACTTTTTTAAGTGCATATATACATGGTCGTTTAGGGTATTCTGTCCTGAACCTGTTTGGATTATTATCCATAGCATTTAGAAACAATTGTGCGGAAACAATCTCAAGCCGAGTTTCAGATCTGATCACACAATCATGATTATGTACTTGGGTTGTAAGGGCCTAGTAAATCTTTATAATTTGTTCCCTCACAAAGGCACTCTCGAGGGTTTATATAGAAATAATCTTATTCCTTTAGCTTGTCTGGAATAATCACACGACGGAAGGACTATCCCTTCCGTTTGCCTTACTGCTAGTTTAAAGTCATTCCATGGAAGTGTCCCATTTCAATGCAAATATAGCAATTCCACAAAGTTTCTTTCGATCTGGTAGGATATTTTCTTTAAACCCAAGATAATTTTTATCTGTCAAGAATATGAAAATAATTCCCCCACCCCGCTTGTTACGTAATTAAGCAATATACATACTTGCGATAATCTTCTACAATTTTTGCCATGTTCCCATCTTATGTGAGAATGAAAGTATTGATAGTAATCGATACCATGAAGTCCAAAGCTACCATCTGAGATGAATGATTCTGAAATTGCTGTAGTGCTACTGGATCTAATAATATTTCCTTTTTAAACTGAAATTGTAATATCTACAAGAATCATATGAAAAAAATCAATAAAAACTCTTGTTTTAGATGTCAAAAGTAAAGTTAACACCAATAGTTAATTATTCTGTGTTAATAGCTGCATAATTTTTAATTACTTTGTTTTAACATAGTACCTCATTTATGATCGAATATTTGGCAATGTTATATATTAATAAAATATTTTATTTTTATCTGACATGGAGTTCAAGTTTGCATAGTACCTCATTTTAAGAATAAAGTTTGAAACTACCCCCATTTAGTAAATAAGATTAATGAGTGCCTTGATTGGAGAAAAAAACTCAGTATCTGTGTATCTGTTGCACTTTCCGAACTGTGTCTCCGCGAATATCTCTGGAGTGTGGCGGCCTCCTTTTAATCAGAATACTCTACGGGTGAGAACGTGGTTAGTTCATTTATTTGAAGATCATTTAAACATTACAACGGTTATGATCGGAGGTATGCAAATCTGATGGTGGAGATCAAATTGTTAATGGCGGTCGTATCCTTGATTTCTCTTAAAATTTACGTCCCTGCCAATAGATTTTTCTTCCTAGTCTATTGGAGTATCAATTATCAGGTCATCTTAAATCTTTAACTCACATTATCCGTGACACGTGTTACCTTTGTGGGCAGAATTTGATAGTTACGTTAACAATCTAGGACGCGGACGTGCACCAAATATCTAGCTGTCAAGAAAAAGAATTGCCGCAAAAAAACTTAAAATTAGAAGAACCTCGTTTATTTGTGCTACCTTATTTTATTTTATTAGTTACCCATTTTTATTTTTTAAGATAATTAATATTAGGAATTATTTTTAAATTATATAAATATTAAATGTGAAATTTAAGTTTTAAAAATTTTTAATATTATATTTAAATTATAAATTTATTAATTAATATAATATTTATTTTTAATATAATAAATTTTGAATGAAAATATGAGATAAAAGAGTTTTTTAAATATTATATTAATTAATAAATTTATAATTTAAATTTTAAATTAAATATTTTTAATTTTAATTCAAATATCATTTATAATTTTAACATTTTTTAAGATGTACTAGTCGATCACGTTGGTCCACGTTCCAAAATTAATTGTGTAACAATTATGCAAACGAAAATCGAAACAAATCTTGTGATTGCTCCGTAGCCGGTGGTGTATGTCCAATTTCAAATAATAGCCTTGACCGTGTCCACGCGTTGGAATTACGTTCAATCTGTCAAAAATGCAAAGCTATCTAATGTTGTGCGGATATGAATAACAGATTTCGACTTTCGAGGTTCAGCGCCATCGCAATTGACCAAAAAAAAAAAAAAAAGCATAGCTCTTCCGTTAATTTTTTCTTTTTTATGAGAAGTATTTGACAATTGGAATCAAAATTTTAAATATTTAATACAAAAAAACTTAGAATAAAGAGGATAAAACAAACTTGATAGAAACTTTCCTAATCCTATTGGTTCTTCTAAAAAATAGTTGTCTTTAGACTTTTTAAGATAAGTTTTTTCATTGTTAATTTTTAAATATAAAATTTACTATCCATTGTTTTAAAAATATTAGTTGATGTTATATAATATATAAGTTTAGAAACTTAATCGTCAAATATGACATTATCATTAATTTTTTATTTAAATATAATTAATTATTTAATTAAATTTATCTTATTTTTAAAAAAAATTCTAAGCTTAATTTAAATATTTTTAAAAAGTAAATTTTAATATACAAAATCAAACTAAATCTAAGAGTACAGTTATGTATGAAGAATATTATAACACTCTCATAACACCTATCAAATGATGATCTCAGTTATTTTTCTGTTATTCATTAAGTCTTAAAATTACACATATTGAAAATTATTCTTAACCGATTCCAATAATTTGATAGAAATTTAATAAAATTCCCTTATCTAAAAAATATACAAGAAAATAATTATTTCTCTTCTAGAGTTTCTGTCGTAGGATCATTTAACATTTATTTTTTTATATAAAATTATAAGAAAATTTTAATTTTAAGAAAAAATTAATATTTTAACTTTTTCCCCAAAATCTTGAAATTATTTTAAAAATAAAATTGATATATCAATTTTTCCTTAAATCCCTTTTAATGGTTTCTTTTAAAGAAAATTTGATATCTCAACTTTTTCCTAAAAAATTTGAAATTATCTTATTTTTAAAAAAATGATATTTTAACCTTTTCTTCTAATTTTTTTGAACTTATTTTTGTTTCGAGGAAAATTCAACTTTTTTCTCAAAAAATTGAAATTATTTTTGTTTAAAAAAATTAATATTTCAACTTTTTCCTCAAATTTTAAAATTATTTTTGTTTAAGAAAAATTTATATTTCAAAATTTTTTTATCATTTTTTGAAATTATCTATATATATATTTAAAAACTCACTAAATATATATATTAAATAAGCAAAATAACAAAATGGAAAAGAAAATTACCAAAAAAAAAAAAAAAACTCGGCTTGACTCGACTTTAAAAATAGAGGAAGGCTTGGTGGCTTGGAAGGCAGCTTGACTTGGCTTGGCGAAGCGACTTGATCTTTAACGGCTTGAAATTGCCTTAAGGGTTGGAGCAGATTGCTACAGAGTCAGAGCTTCTCATGGGTTGATGCTCAGATATACTAAAATCCTACCTTAAAGCCACATCATTTTCCCTTTTGTATAAAATCCCTTCTTTATTTTTTCTTCATTTATTCCATTTACAATCCTTATTTTCTAAAAAATTCTCTCCTCCTTTCTTTACAAATTCAAGAAAATGGTTGGGAACTTCAAATTCCCCAAAAATATATGAACACTCGCCATCGCAGCAAGTCATCGTTTTCCAATGCCAAAATCTCACCAAAATTTCTAAAAAAGATCCTTGACACCTCCCCCTTTCATTTTTAGCCTTGGTTCCCCTTAAAAGAGCCTCCAAACTTATAAATTTATAAAGATAGCTTGTAGTTTCAAAGGCCAAAAACACACTTTTTTTTGTTGCTTTGATCGGCCTAGACTTTCACTATGTTGTTTTCACTCCTCTACTCTACCTTTTTACTATTTTAGATATTCCACAAGCCAACCATCAACATGTGCCACCACTTGCACCGCCACCATAGAGGTTATTTAAAAAACCCTTATTTCTTCCCTTTGGCAACTACTATTTTAAAGGTTTTTGAGAAACCTTGATATAAGAAATCCTAGAGGAAAGAAATTTGTTTTTGTTGATTATGTTTAGATGTTGTTGTGATTGTGGTGGTTCAGAATTGTCTTACTAGATATTGCAAAACGTTTTATGTTGGGTTTGTGTTTACTAGTTAAGGGCATATGGGTTCTCAGTGGATTATTATGGATTGATGCCATCTGCTAGAGATTCCCTTTCCCACAAAACTTAGGCATAAACTAAAATTGAAATCCAAAAAATATCCCCAATACTAGAAACTATTTTGTAATTTCACTACTATTTTTGCTTTTCTTTTCTTTCATCTATAAATGGTAGTTTATAGGGAAAGTTCCCAATGAAAATCAGGTTTCAAATTTCAAAACCACACCTATCCTATCCAATTTTTTATTTCAAAATAACGGAGATTTCAAAACTTAATCCAACACCTAGATTTCAAAAACACTTTTACTCATTCACGTTTCTTCTAAAATTTTTATTTTTTATTTTTCTTTTATTTTTCATGTTTTTATCTTTTTTGTATAATGATGATGATGATGATGATAATAATAATAATAATAAACTAAAGATAAAACCCAAAATTGTCATGGCCTAGCCCATGTAATTTTTGTATTAGGCCTAATTGTTACATTAAGGCTCTGGGCTTAAATGGGTGTCTATAAGTGGATATCAACTTGTTATTGTAGATTAAAATCTTTTTATTATTATTTTTGTTCATCAATTTTTTTGTAAAATTTATCAAATTAAAAAGAAAAAATAT